TTGACCATTCTGAGTTAGCGGAGCTAGCTTCTGCCGTAATTAGTGTCCCGACGGGGAAGACGAGCGTGGCAGAGTAATTACCACGAGCTCTCGACCGAAGTCCAGACTGCGCATCACCGTGACCAGTCTGTCCAAATCTAAACGCGACAAGGTCCACTTTCAGGATGCTGCTGCTGCGGTAGAAATCTGTCTGGCGATAGTGGAAAAAGATAGAACGACAGAGACATGGATAGTAGAATGCGAGCTGTGATTTTCTCTGTCCTTATGGATTTACTCCTGCCGCCGCCGCCGTAAAGAATTACCAAATTGATAGGCGTTTCAGCCAGAAGCCGTTGGATCCACTTAAACTGCGCATTCACATGTGCTCTAGAAGAGATGTCAGACTCCAGTAGACATCTTTAAAAGGTTTTGACCGTCGGGGGAGGGGCGACTCTAGAAAGACTCTAAAAACGTATATCTTCAGAGAATCTCTGATGCTGTGTCTCCGCATGTAACTACGGCCACTGAATAGGGGCCAGGTCTCCCCGACACCCTGAATAGACTTCGGTTAACGGGGGATTTGATGGGCTGCATCAGATTTTAAAGCCAAGCTACTGAAGAATACACCGTTCCGGTCGTAACACTCTGCGGTTTGGATGTGACTGCGACAGTAGGTAGCTTTATTGTGCTTAACTCTTTGACGTTATAGACAAACTGAAGATGATCAGGCCAAAGTCAGGCAGGACTGCTTGACCGCAAAAAGTTGGAGGAAACGACGGTCATGCCTTCGAGGGGAAAGGACGGGACATGGCCGCAGAGCCCCACCGATGAGAAATGAGAGAGACTACTGCTTATTTTGACCGATTTGTGGCCCTGTTTGTTGGGCCTTCTTTCCTTCATCGCTCTAAAGTCCTTTAAAGAAGTTTTCCGAGTTTCAGGACTCTAACCGACGTAAAATAAAAGACTAGAGGGTTGTCCGGGATGCGTCTAACTCGACATTAAAAACTATTTTGAGAAAGAGTGAAAATTTGGCACGACTACCACAGTCATTATTACCACGGCACAGTACTACGACTGGTTCTTCAACCATTTTACTACTATTACCATTATTGCTATTATTATCACTTCTACTACTGTCAGCACTACTATAATTGCCTCCACTACCGATCCTCCCCCTAGCACTGCCGCAAGTACCACTACCGCCTCTATTACCACCACCAGCACTACTACTGTTCTCATCACTTCTAATGCTATCATAACCACCACTAACATTATGGAAAGGATGTAACAAATACTACAAGCACTACTACTCTTGACGTTATCAGCATTGCTGCTGCTGCTGCTGCTGCTACTACTACTACTACTACTACTACTACTACTACTACTACTACTACTACTACAAATACCAATAATAAAAAGAATAATAATAATGCCGTCGGGAAAACAGCTTTATCCGCCTGGCGGTAGGATTCACGCTCGAACCCACCATCAGAGACAGTATCAGATACGGATGACTCGTGCACAGGAGGTTGCAGTATTTATAGGATGTAGTTGCTATGCTACTGCATACCTAGGCTAATCAACCGCTCTCCCCTCCATCGACGATTGTTGCCCGCTGGCACGCTAATGGCTTGATAGTCGGTATGCGGGTTGCTAATTGCTAGAATTTCATCACCCGTGTTGGGTGTCGGCGTGATGATTGCTCGGCCATCTGGCTCACCGGCCTGCGCGCTCCCCTGGTGGCTAATTACTTTAACCAGGCCAAGTCTCAGCACCGAATATAGGGTAGGGATGTAATTGCACTCCTTGATAGACTGGGGCCCCGTGAACCATGACTCGCGGCTCACGTGATTATCACCTCTCGCGAGGATTTGCTCCTCGTCGAACTCGAATGTGTGGCCGGGTCCGGTCGCATGGGACGCGACTTGAGCGATGGCGTTATTTCTCCTCACTGCTGTCGCGTGTTCGGCGATTCGCGTCCGGCACAGTCTTCCAGTTCCCCCGACGCAGTTGCTTTGGTCTCATCACCTGATGGGAACAAAAGACCCGCAAGCAACATCTGGTGTCGTTTACCAGATCTGAAGCAGTTGCGGACAAAGCGCACCAGCGGACAATAATTCCCGATGAAGGGCAGAGCAGTAAACTATCATAGGTAGGCAGTAGCATGGCGACTGAATCCTGTAAATACTGCAGCTTCTTGTACACGAATCACCCGTGTCTGTTACTGTCTCTGATGATGGACTCGAGCGTGGATCCGAAACGCCAGACGAATAAAGCTCCTGCTCCAGCGATGGCCTCCACTTCTCATCAACTTGTTCCTGAAACTCACATCTTCGCTTGTATTGGGAATAATACCACCAGTGACAGTTCAACCGTCGCGGAAGATGATGTTCACCCCGAGCCCCAGAGCATGATGGGCACAGGATGGTGATTTGCATGTGAGTCAGTTTATAATGAGGCAGACTTTTGCTGCATGTACCGCACTCTCTCCTATCTCGGGTTGTGTGGGCTAGCAAAGCGGGTGGGTGGATGGAGTTTAGACTGTGGTATTTTGCCGCAGATTTTCATGGAGTCGCCTACGGCCGAGTAGGCCCACGCGGTGACCGAATGCCCGTGGACAGTTAGGGCGGTTGTGAGGGGTGTATATTGGGGCCCCTGGCACTGGTTTGCCATTCTCAATGCGATGAGTTCGCAAATGACCGACAAGCCATATACGCGATGAGAAAGTGTGACTGCAATGGTGACAGCTGGGAATTGAGTAGGCTCGATGGCGGTAATGTTTTGCAGATCGGGATGAGTGTCCTCGTTGGTCTTAAGGGGGCTCAGTCGTGGCAGTTTACAAGATTAAGTGGTCTCCTTGACTCTTATTCGTACAAAGACGGCCGTTTCTATTGTAGCACCTGCCTTGCAGCTTGGGTTTACAGGAGTGATTAGCAAATCGAGCCATGTTGCCCACTCTGTGAACACTGACGGCCAGGTCTGGTGTTAGGTGCAGTAGGAATGTCATGTGAGCATTCTCTGGGATGGAGGCTGGGGTGGTATTAGTGCCGGCACATGTATGCGAACTGCTGTAAAGAAACGCGTGGGGAGCGATTTCGGCTGGCAACCTCCGACACGGTGATCGCTTCGCCTGCCACTAGCGGAGGAACCTCGCGAGAGTTAGAGTTGCTATCAGCCTCCAAGACAGCACTGGATCCAACGCTAACCCCAGTGAATTCGGTCACAAAAATGGTTTAACCAACATGAACACGTAACCTCTCACTAGGTGGTCAGCACTTGTTGAAAATCCTCAGTTAACAAATCTGTATCAACCACGAAGAGTCGGAAAAATTCGCCCACATCAGAATCCTCTCGGGATCAAATAACTACCCCCCGCCCCATTCTTGTTTGAACAACTTAAGGCCTCACAGATAAACGTATAAGCACAGGGGGTTGCTTAAAGAGCCTGTAGAACAACTTCAAAAGGAAGGGCCTCGGTCATTAGAAATAATTGTCGTTCTTCTCTTAAGACAAAAACCGTACGAGTCAAAAACCCTGCTTAAACCTTCCGGTCTCGCAATTGCGATCTGGCGTCTTCGAGTGCTCAGCGAGAAGCAGATATGGTGGTGCACGCGGCGGCTATTTCTGCTCCAGAATTCCAACTGCCAGTAACTTTGCTCACGAAATGAACCCCAGGAGGACCATGCAGACCTGTTAACCTGGTTGCGGTGTAAGATCTCCGGGGGCAGTAGCTACCTATGAAATGAAAATTCGATCGTCTTTGTCAACGATGTCCACCACGTGCTCCACAGCTAGGTGAGAGGAGAGACGGTCACTTGTGCGTGAATTAGTCTATAATGAGAGTAGACTTACACAGTATCTACCGCACTCTCTCCTCCTCCTCACCCATCCAGACCCAGTGTCAAGACGAAGTCAAGAAGACCGGAGGTGGGAGAGATGGCTGGCATGGTGTAAACCCACACCTAGGCGCACCATCACACCCCCTGTCCACAACGTACACTGACCCAGGATATTACACCTCAACAAAAGTAGTCGAGCAGCACGGATCCCATCTGGCGCGAAGTGAATCGGCAACTGAACCAGTCGCCACACCCGATGTGTTGGCATTTGTTATTGGTGTTCTTTCCCGATAACACCTGCCGGCTTCCGATCTAATGCCGGCGTTGGTTCTGCGCATCTACCGCCTGGCTCGTTTTAGGGGCCTACGTACCACAACCACTACAACAACTACCGCTCCTACTTCCATTTATAACACTGATAAAAATAATAAGGTAAATACTATTGCTACTGTTGCTGTTGCCAATTAGCCGAATACTTCCACGACCCGTACTGCTATGCATAAGCAAATGGTGCAACTACCACGATATCCACCACTACTACTGCTACTACTATTACTGTCTCTACCACAATCACAACTAATAATAATGGCGGTAATAATAGTGTCCCGATTATTACTCCACCATTATTTCTGCTTTTACTCATCATTCCTCTATTCCTGTTGCGATTGCAGCTACTGATTTTATTGCTTCTTATACTACCAAGAATACTAATAGGTCGGAAACCCTACACACAAAGGAATCCACGGATCGAACTTCAGAGGGTAGGTAATTCTCAATAGAAGCGAAGAGACAGGTCCGAGGATGCAGTCGTGAAGAAGGAGACACGATCGCTGAGGCAAGAGCTTTATTCGCCTGACGTTTCGGATTCCTGCTCGAACCCATCATCGGAGACAACAGCAGATACAGTAAGTAATTCTTTTGAAAGTCGAACTATTCTCTCCACCTCAAGTGCCGACAAAGAAATGACTCTTTATCCTTTCTGCAAGGTATGGGTTTATCTACGACGATATAAGGAAAAAAACTGGGAAATGCGCATCACTTAAATAGTTACTTTTTTGGAGAGCAATTAACGCACAAGGTGACATCCTACAGTGGGCAAACCTCTCTATTTACTACTTTCCAACTGAATGTCTAGCTGAAGACTACGGTCAAACTTTCATCCGTGTTTAGCATCCACTGTAGATGGGTTCCACGGCTACTGCTGCTGCTGCTGCTGCTGCTGCTGCTGCTGCTTCTGCTGCTGCTGCTGCTGCTGCTACTGCTGCTGCTGCTGCTGCTGCTGCTGCTACTGCTGCTGCTGCTGCTGCTGCTGCTGCTGCTGCTGCTGCTGCTGCTGCTGCTTCTGCTGCTGCTGCTGCTGCTGCTGCTGCTGCTGCTGCTGCTGCTGCTGCTGCTGCTGCTGCTGCTGCTGCTGCTGCTGCTGCTGCTGCTGCTGCTGCTGCTGCTGCTGCTGTCGTCTCTGTGTTGTCTGACTTCACTTGCCGACCACGCGCGACGTGCAGTCAGGCGTGCCAGCCTGGTGTCAGTCAGGGGTGTTAGTCAGTCGCATATTACTGGCTGCCGTGGAAGATGACGAATAAGCCCGACATCAAGGGGAGGGATGTAGTAGAGGGTACGCCATTTTGTCCTGACCTTTTATATGACGAATTAGGTTACCCGACTTGAGAAACTGCAGAGAGTGATTTGCGCACATATTTGGCTTGAAGCCTAGATTGTGGGTGTGATCCGGACCTCCATATCGTCACGGCCTGTGGCGCCCTCATACTTGTTGGCGATAATTGGAGATAACTGGAGGGCGGGGGCGTCACGCTCTGAAAGTAGGTTCGAAAAGCCGGACAGTCTGCAGGAAAGTCCATGCTGGCGGTGATAAAGCGGTTGGCTGACATCCAGGTCTCGTGCACCTGCCTTGACCTGGCGGTAGCACTTTCGTGGAATAGGAAAAAACAAGCAAATTGCGTGGATGAACCGAACTGTACCTTGACTGTACCACAGTGGGGAATTAAAATTAAAGGCTCTCCTGGATGTGTTTTCGCCTTGTTCACACCACCGCACGACAACATGCTGCAGTAGGAACTCCAGCCCAAAGTAATGCAGGTGGCCCCCGCTGAATTCAAGGAAGGGCGCCTTCTCCCGTCCCCTAAACCTTAGCGAAAACTTTGACTCTAGTCCAAATCTCAACCTTTACCCTAACCTAACTCTAACCCCAATCTCCCTAGAATTTAGCGCAAGGAAGTCTATATTATAGAAGGATGAGGAGATCCTATTTCCGTGTCGTACCCACCGCACTAGTCCATAGGGCTGGCATGGCTGCCATGAGCGCATGCTTCCAAAACACTCGTACATTGGCCCAAGCGGCGTTAAACTAGTAAACTAGAATGAGCAAAACCGATGGCTCCTAAATACTCCACCAGTGCCAAAATCCCTTAGGCCAGTGCTAGCAAAGCAACATCCCACATTTCGACAGAGATACCTTTCATCCATTCATATCAGTCATAATGGGAAAAACAATATGACGTATAATAAATGTCAAATAGATCATTGTAAAGATATCGCAAATTATATTGTATATCTGTATTGCATGTCTATTCTATTATAATATATTGCATATATAACATAATATTATTAATGCCTCGTGTATATTATTATATTATAAATTCATTATCTATAATACTACCATATATTGTCTCATAAAATGCTGCCCGAGATTCTGAAATGCATTCTCAGTTGAAAAAGATTACGTAAGCGGAGTTGTAATAATGATTATCATGCAGCATAATTCCCTACAACGAGATAGTGGACGTCACAGACGGTGTTATTTTCTCCTCATGCTTTAGCCGCAGACCGTGCGAACTCTGCTGACATCTTCAGCTTCTAAAGGATATTCGACCGACACGGTCAAATGACTATTACCCACTGTCTACATTTAGAGCAGATTCCACAACTATTGTGTAGTAACTTCACCAAATTCATCATTTGTGTTGCTCGTATTCGTGGACATTAGATTCTCATGCGACGCACTGGTGAGCGGCAACGACCGTGCCTGCGTCTGGCCTGTTGCACTCTTAGTGGGCTGTTTACGTATTAACTTCTCCCTCCCAAGGGAATTGCGAGGGTCTCTAGTGGTTTGTCACCTCACGGCAACAGCGATCTGCCGTTCCTCTCTCCACCTCCTGGTCTCATTCACAGCTCCCCATCTTCCGTGAAAGGGAATGAGGCGTGCAAAGTGCCTTCACGTTTACGGCCAACGATCCCTGCTCCATGTTGAGGTCATGCCTCGTGTTGCGGTTCGCTTCACCTGTATTCCAGCCTTTTAAACTACCATTCAATGAAGTACCAGTAGTAAGTATTTCTTTATTCTCAAGGATCTTAGTCGGTTATTCATGCATTTCAACGTCTGCTTAAATTTGTGATTGCATGGATGGGAGGGCGGAAGGGCGGAATGGGGGTGAGGTGGGAAGGAGGGTAGAGGATGGCGCTGCGAGCCGACTTGTTCTTTGGACGGGGCGAATGTCAGGGCCCCGCTTGGCTTCATCGTATTGCAGATAACGGAGGAAGACTGCTCGATCATCGGAGAAGTCTCTGTCTATTGTTCTGAGATGTCGAACTCGTACAGGAGTCCATCGCCAGAAGTAGAAGCAACAACAGAACAAGCGACAATTATAGAACATGCTGACCTAACATCGATCGACACCGCAAGACTGGAGGTGACTACGCAGGACCCTGCACGCCGGTACCCTCGGAGACCTATGATTTATTCCGCCAAAATACGCCCATCGCACATTTGTCCGACCGGTTCCACCACCGACATCGCTGCACACTGATTCCATGCATCCTTAGTTGGAGTCGGCATGAAGAGACGGAGTTTGGCAAACAGCATCATGTTATCATATTTTGCTGTTTTCGCAAGTCCAACTTTCCTAGATACCATAATTATTCCGACAGTCCGGACTTCTTGTGGGACAGTTGGATGAAAACGCGATCATCGTTCGCTAAAAGATTACTGTCACCCTTTGCAAGTAAAGTGACCAGGGGTCCACGGAGAGGGACCCCGTATGGAGGGCTTAAGGTGTATGAGCATCAAATTAAGTAGTTCTGTCGGACAACTAGCATGCAGTCTGCAGGGCCGTGGCCGGTAATGATAGTGCCTCTCAACTAGTGCATTCCGACGTACTTTAGTGTTTAAACAATCGCGAAGCACCATGCAGTTTATTTGACCGGGTCGTGTCGAAGTACTGACGTAAATAAATTAGAAAGTAACCTCGGCTGTTTTAGTCGTATGCGGCTGCGGCGTGACCGGTTGGGGGTTTTAAATGTGAATCAGCAAATCATGTGCGCGGCCCGCCTTGTATTCTCGTAAACGCCGCTCGTCGTCCTGACGGTTCCACTTTTAGCGTGTGAGTGTGTGTTTGCAGAAATGGCAGATCCGAGTGTTCTCATTCTGTCAACAGCAAACTGTCTGGAGAGGAGTGGTTTGTTTCAGACGGCTTTGATGACACACAGCGGATGCACAAACTGGAGGTATGATTTGGACACATGGAAACGTAGGGTAGGACATAGATATGTGTACTCCCCCCTGACTTCGCATTGACTGTGCAGCCAGTGTTTGCATGGTTTCTCACAGTGACAGAGCTTACTGGCCTCTTGGAAGAGCACTCCTCTGGTATGAAATGCGGGGACTTGGTAGATGGTCTCATAGCCTGCATAAATGCACTTGAAGACTTCTTGAGCAAACGTTTCAGAAACCGCATCTTTCCAAATTGACAATTCGTTTTTACTTTGAATTGTGTTCTGTCAGGGATGATACTTGTAGTCAGACACACGCAGCAGTTCCAGCCAAGAAATAGACTTCTTCAAAAACTAGTTTGCCCATTCAGAAGAACAGACCGATTCGCACCTAGCAATAACATGAGCAATCGGTCTGCTTGCTTAAGCGGTGGGTTCACGCCCAGTTTCTGACTTCGATGTCCTGACAAGTTGCACACCAGCCTTGTACCTCGCGAGGCTGCACCCCGAGCTGTTGCATCTGTCCGGGCTGGTGGTTAGTAACAGCGCACGCTGTGCCACGCCTTCTGACCCCTTTTGGGGTGTTGGTTTTATTGTTGCTGTTGTTGTTGTTGTTGTTGTTGTTGTTGTTGCTGCTGCTGCTGCTGCTGCTGCTGTTGCTGCTGCTGCTGCTGCTGCTGCTGCTGCTGCTGCTGCTGCTGCTGCTGCTGCTGCTGCTGCTGCTGCTGCTGCTGCTGCTGCTGCTGCTGCTGCTGCTGCTGCTGCTGCTGCTGCTGCTGCTGCTGCTGCTGCTGCTGCTGCTGCTGCTGCTGCTGTTGACCAAAAACCTGGTCATTTGCTGTGTGGACCAGGGGTATGGAGTGGGACGCCAAGGTGGGGGCTCGGCCTTGTCATTCACCTGTGCCCTCCCCGCCTCTAGTCTTCTGGACTCTGTTTTGACACCCGGTCCATTTGGGGAGTAAGGTAGAGAGAGAGTTCGGTAGATCCTGCGCAAATCTTTTGTCGCTATAAACTAATTCACACGCCTGATTCCCTGACGGTAGATACGCTTGCGATCCCACTGGATATATAGGTGGTGGGCATAGCTGCCCAGTCATCATCGTCCTTCTGATCCCTTTTGGGGTGTTGGTGTTGCTGTTGCTGCTGGTCGAAAATCCGGTCATTTGATGTGTAGACCAAGGGGTGTGGAATGGAACGCCAAGGTGCGGGCTCGGCCGTTCCATCCAACCGCGCTGTTTCCCCATCCGGTGTTTTTGACTCTGTCTTGACACCGGGTCCATTTGAGGAGTAAGATAGAGAGAGTCCGGTAGATCCTGCGCAAGTCTATTGTCGCTATAAACTAATTCACCCGCAAGTCACCGTGCCTGCTGCACGTTGGTGTGTAGCACACGGTGGGCATCCTCGAAGTCGACGGTCGAACTACTGGGCACATGTGCGGTCCTATTGACTATGTGCATATGTTGTGCCATGCTTCAGAAAACCATGGCCCTCGCAGTTTGGTGTTCGCGGGCAGTCCTCTGGCACCTGATTCCTTGCCGGTAGGCGCGTTTGCGCTCCGGTTGGGTATACAAGCCGTGTGAATGATTGCCCAGTGTCTTATGTCACCCTCCTTTTTCTGACCCGTCTATTAAGTTGTTGGTCAAAATCCTGGTCAGGTTTTTGTTGTGGACCATGGGGGGGGATGGTACGCCTAGGCGCGGGTCTGGCCTCGCCAGCCACCTGCGTCCTTTCCCGTCTCCGGTCTTCTCGATCCTGTCTTGACACCGGGTCCAGGTGGGGGGGGGGGAGAAGAGAGTGCGGCAGATGCTGTCCAAGCCCGCTCTCACTGCCTGTGGAGCACACGGCGGACATAGTAGAAATCGACGGTCGAACTGCCGTGTGTGTGTGTGTGTGTATACGCATCTCGCATCTCGACTCGGTCCCCATGAGGCTTCGGCTGCACGGGTGACTTGAGTCCGAGACTATCCCGACACGTCAAGCGTCGTGGATAGGAAGGTTGCTGATTGACGCCCGCTCTCGGTTCACGCAGTTCGTCGCGTTGTGTGTGTGTGTGTGTGTGTGTGTGTGTGTGTTGTGTGGAGTGGCGGACTGGTGGGCTGGGAACGGGCTGAAACAGCACCTTCCACGGCACTCTCACGCAAGTGAGAGACACGTCGTTCAACCCCCGTCGTGTGAAATCCTGGTGTTGTGTTTATGGGGGCCAGGTCGTGCCGTGGCAGTCGACCATGACAGCCACCGTGCCCATTCCCCACTCCAGTCTGCTGGCCGGCTCGGACAGCGGCTGGGGTGTGGGAGTGGGAAGGGAGAGTGAGGTCGACGACTCAGCGCACTTTCTCCTCACTATAAACAATCTGACGCGCTTGAAGCTATCACGGTGCGCTAAAAGCCGTGGCTTGGAAGGTTGCCAACTGACGGGGTAACTTGGACCTCCTCCTTGACCGGAGGCGGTCTGAGAGTCAGGCTGCAATGGCTCCTTTTTAATGTGGCCTTTATGGCACTCCCATCACAGTGTGGGATCCGAGCCAGGCGTTGGCGGCACGCCCAGGTGCGGCTTCGGCCGTGCCAGCCTCCAAATCTCTCTTGTGTTGGTTGAAATCCTGGTTATTTGTTGTGTGGACCAGGGGGTGTGGTGGAATGCCAAGGTGAGGATCCGTCCGAGCCGTCCACCTGCGGCCTCCCTCGTATCCGGTCTTCTTGACTCTGTCTTGACACCGGGCTCGGGCGAGGGAGGAGGAGAGAGTGTAGGTAGATGCTACGCAAGTCTACTGGCACTATAAACCCCTGCGCAAGTCACCGTCCCTGTCCTCACCGCTGCTGCAGCTGTGGGGCACACGGTGGACATCATGGAAATCGGTGGTCGAACTGTCGTGTGTATACGCCGTGGAGGCAGGCAGTGCGCGTCAGGAAGTTGGGTCATGTGAGACACTCCCACTGTCATTTACTCGCATGCACTCACGCACGCGTAGTTGTTTTCTGCCAGTTCAGATCACGCGCTGCGTATGACGGCGAATCCAGACGTCGAACGGCAGCAGCAGCAGCAGTGAGATGAAAAAGCGGCTACGCTGTCATCGGATGTAGTGGGAGTTGCGCAGGAATGCATGAAGTTCCTGGCTGGGGGTGAAGATGGGAGAGTAATAACGTGAGCTTACGTACTGCAGACATGGAAAGTGGATTTTGGGTAACTGAGACCTGTGAAGCACGGCTTTCGCGTAGCTTGTACATTCACGAGAGGGGCCGACGGGGTCTGAAACTGGGCAGATGGATTTACTCAAAGTCCGATTACCAAATCTATTTTGGTTAAAATACGAGTCCGTCCAGAAGTGAGGCAGGGAAGTGTCGGCTGACGATGATGATGATGGCAATGATGGTTGTGGTGGTGATGGTGATGATGATGATGATGATGATGATGATGATGATGATGATGATGATGATGATGATGATGATGATGATGATGATGATGATGATGATGATGATGATGATGATGATGATGATGATGATGATGATGATGATGATGATGATGATGATGATGATGCACACATCCATTTGGCGGGCCACTTGGTGGTCCGGGCATAAAGTCCCAGCGGAAATTCTCAGAGCACACTACAGTGAGTAACCGATCTCATGAAATGCTGGCCGAAATTCTGAGAGGTTTCCAAGCAGGAAGGTTTGCTTACGTGAAGTTGTAACATTGGTTATCATACAACATAATCGTATGATATTCAAGACTCACCAGAACGTTGACCTTTAAATTTACATCTTCTCGACCTCCTGCAGAAATCACACTCGGCTAAAATGCCTGCTTATGTAGCAAACCTTTTCGCAGTCATTTTCGATAGTCTTATAAATTCGAACATACTTTATTTTAAAAATGCACGAAAATGTGCTTTATTTTACCCCTTTAGTAAAAATTACACTTTCCTTACTTTTTATAGCCTAAGAAAGGTTATCTTTCGGTTTTAAAAAAAGCTTCTAATTATGAGATTTTTAAGACTGTGCGATGTACGTACATACAGCATCGCACATGTCCGTTTACCAGTGCTCTTCATGAAATGTACAATACAGTCCGCATTCATTGCAAAATTACATGAAATCTATATGGTGTCTTCTTAGAGGTATGGAAGAATATGATTTTCCTTACGCGGAAAGCATACACCTTGTAGGCTGAAATCCCTAAAAACTAGTGCAACGGCTAATCGGGCTCGAAAGTATTCGGGAATTTTGAAACTTTTAAAACCTAAATGTGCACTTTCTTAGGGCATAAAATGTAAGGACAATGTAATTTTCTACTAAACGAGAAAAAGGAAGCATATTTTTGTGCATGTTTTCTACAAAATATATTTGAGTTTATAAGACCATGGAAAATCAATGTGAAAAGGCGTTCTACAGCCTGCGGCTGTCTCTGCTGATGGGTTCGAGTGAGAATCCGAAACGCCAGGCCAATAAATTTCTTGTTCCAGTGATCGCATCTTCTTCTTATGAACTGCTTCCTGAAACTCGCCTGTTCTGGTGAGTTTTGAATATCATAGGATTATGTTGCATGATAACGAATGTTACAACTTCACCTAGGTATGCCTTCCTAATCGAAAACTTATTTCAGAATTTCGGCCAACATTTAATGAGATCGGTCACTCAGCGTAGGTTTAGACATCCTTTCACCGTACTTCCTCTATTCTTCATAGGCAGGGTGTCACAGACCAATGGTTGCATGGTTTCTCGCGGTCGCACAGTTCATCAGTGGCTTCAGTAGCTGTGACTCTTATGAGGTGTGCGAGAACTCGGGAGATGTACATACTCACGTCGACATGGCCGACTGCATCGGTGTGTCTGCAGACCTCTTGTGCAAATTTCACAGAAAAGGCACCCCTGAAGATCGATAATTCGTTTGGCAGCGGTAGGTTGTGTAACCCCATCTTTCACCGAAATTACTATTGTTTATGAGGGGGACTGTACGCAATCATTGTCAAAGAAATAAATAAATCAGGCGTACGCGTTCGAAAACAGAAGCCGCTTGGAGATGTCGAGGAAGCAGAGCGTTTGTGATGTAGCCGAGGCAAAGTAAACCAAAATGCACTCAGCGATTCTTGCAGCGCGTACCGACATGACACAAAAAGATTTATCTGCCCTTTCAGACGAAATAAATAAGTCACGGCGTACGGAATTGACGACGAAAAGCAATGCCAATACATTGGGGTGACTAGAAATCAAGGTAAAGCAAAGAGATTACGGAGAATGGGAGCAGGAATATCATATCGAATAAGTGATCACTAAAAAGTCAAGCTGGAACAACTCGATGCGTACGATTATATCAAACTGTCAGACAAAACGCAAAGGGGGACTTCCTGTAGCTATGGGTTAATAAGCAAAAATGCCTTCTAAGACGAATACAGTAGTTGCCCATAAGTGCTAAACCCAGTGGAGTGCACACCTTATTCTCAGCATTCGTTTTAACCTAAAATTTCCTTCTACCAGGGGAATACTTGTATTTGGGCATACCCAAAATTTCCAACCATGAAGTAGACTTTTACAAACAATACTTGAACCAGGCAGAAGAACAGACCAAGTCGCACCAAGAAACAACATGACAACTCCGTTACGATGAACAAATTCGCTTCTCAGATTATCATCCTGAAACTCTCACTTTAGCGAACATGAATTGGAATACGGGGACTCGGTTGATGGTCTCATA